TATCTGTGGAATATTACTGCCTCAGCATTTGCCTAAGTGATCCAAGGAAACCACAGAAAAACTTGGACCAAGGCAGACGGACCCGGAATCGAACCGGCGTCCTCCCGAATGCTAAGCAATGGTCTAGACCTTTAGGCCATGACGCTCGGTACAGAGAATCAAATTCCATTCAACAACTTACCGCGAAAATTTAAAACCGACAAATTTGTATGTGCTCGATAAGAAAGGATTTTTTTTAAATGAGATCCCTAAACGGGTGGAGAGTGAATTATAGTGTGATAATTTCCAAACACTAAAAGTTAGGGACTGGGATACTTTTTGGGAATTAACCTGCGCCAGTTTTGTAATTCCACATTGTTCAGGAAGACGAGGACTGTATGCTGTATAGGTACTGCATACGTATGTGTATGATACTTATTACGCGGAAGGCGCTTTCAGGTAGCAATTACCTTATAAAACATCTATATGGAGCTCATATGAAGCTCGTTGAAAGCGACTTTATACTAGAAACCGTCAATGTACTTATACCTTGTATACAATGTGTCTACATTCATACTAACTATTGTTAATAATGTTCGTTCATGTACAAAGTGCATAGGGGCCTTTTAACAATGTCTATTCGCGCTGTCGTAGAAATATTCAAGTTTGTACATAGAACAAATACGTTACATAATCACGCACATAATACATAATTACATAATCATCAGGTTTTCACTATTAAAAATACAGTAGCAAGCAGTGTAGGGAATATCGTAAACATAGAAAAGAGATGTCACGTAGGAATTGCAGCGGACACTAACAAAAAAGTAGAAATGACATTACACCAATTAATTGTAACAGAAAGAGATGCAGACAAGCAGAATTTGAGCATGTTGCCAGCATCGAACTTTAAAGAAAGTTCAACATTCTCACGAATTTTGGAAAGCAATGGCGCTTGTTTAAAGATATAATTCCAACCAAGCAATTATAAAGTCAACCTTGCGACGCGCTGATGAGACCCAAAAAGATCGAAATCACGATTCGCGTCTGGCAGTTTCGACAGAATACAGACCACTTCGAATTGTTTTATTCGATTAAGCTAACGTGCCTATCACGCCGGGATTCGTTTTCAGCAAGTAGATATCCACACAAGTGGACCTTGTTGAAAAATACGTAATCCTAAAATGTAGTATCGTGCTACAGATGGCGTTCACTGTGCCGTTTGTAGTATTTTCTGAAACGCACTGTTAAGACAGCAGGTAAAAGTTGGTCTGTGTTCTGTCGGGCTGCCTGTGACGCGCTGATGAGATCCAAAAAGATCGAACTGGCAGTTTCGACAGAATACAGACCACTTCGAATTATTTTATTCAACCTTGATATTTTCTTTCAGTTAATTTATTGGGCACTATGTCAATTTTGATAGTCCGAACTACATCTACTTAATATGTTTCCATTTGAGCATAAGGACCTACGAGTGATGTTAAGTATTCTGCCCACCTTACACTGCTCCTGATGTGTACATTATGCAACTAATTGGATACAGACGTCGTAAAGTTCCATCTTGTAATTACCGTAGAAGAAAATTGAATCCTTGCAACTTGTTACACAGGATCGTTGTTGCTTGTAACACGGCTTTAACTGCACTAGTTAAACTGGAACCTGTTGTTAAATGTTGTGTCAACACTTGTATTATTTCCCTCAGATGCTTGTCTCTCGAAGAGAAATTAAAACCGTTCTAATTAAAATTTCCAGCACCTAATTCGAAGTCGCTAAAATCGTTGCTTCCATAACTCATAAATATCCAGTCCATAAAATCGCTGTACCCCTTTCAATTATATACCTGATACTCTTTTTATTACGAATTGAAAAGAACATTGTAAAGTATTACATATTTTTCGGAATTCAACAACCTCTAAAAGTTAATTATGAGAAACTAGTGGATTCGTTATAGGAATTCAAGATAAAACAATAATCAATCAAAGGACCCCGCTAGATCCTTACGGAAAATGACCTTCCGTCAAATTCCTTAATACTTTGGTTTTTGGTAGTCCTCTGACTTTAAGGAAATGTCAGTGAGGTTCTTTTTATTAGCCCATATGCACCTACATTATCAGTCTTTTATGTTGACATATCGTATTCATAAGAGGAAATAAGACAACACCATGCACGTAGATAGGTAGGGGCAAGGGGGAGGGCACTGCCCCCGACTAGCAAGATCATTGTCCCCCCTGTAAAAGGCTCTTATGAGTCACGATATCGTTTCAAAGTTTAAAAACATAGAAACCAAACACATTAAACTCATATAAACTTACAGCCATTGAAAATCTGCCTCGCCAGGGAAAAATCTCTCGCTATGCAATTATGTACAATAAGTAATATTTCCCAACCGATATGAAGAATGAAAAGAATGCATAAATTGGCGGGAAAGAAAAACAACCGTGAAATAATTCCCGTATCATTTACCTAAAACATTACTAGACAATTGAGATTTGTTCTGTGTGAAATGATATTTGCCTAGAATAATCTGAGATAATGACTGATATACAGTGTAAACTCTTTATAACGTCACTCGATTTAACGACAAACTCCTTAAAACGTCGAAATTGCTTGACTTTGGTTGGTTTACATTGTTTTCTATACAAGATTACACTCTATATAGCGTCACGCTCACTCTATTTAACGACAACAATGCGGCATTATAAATCATTGA